CCTCCTCCTCCTCCTCCTCCTCCTCCTCTCCACCCTCCTCCCCCTCCTCACCCTCCTTCTCCTCCTTCTCCTCCTCCTCCTTCTCCTCCTCCTCCTCCTGCTTGCCTCCAGGGTGCCCTGGGCTTCCTGGTTTTCGATGGTTTTGCTATGGAGAGCGCGACGTGCCCACACCAAAGATCAGTTTACGCCCTGGGGTCTCAGGGTCGGGTTTCTTGCGGAGGCCTTCTTATGGTCGAGTCCTTACTGTCACCCTACGGTGGGGGCGTTCGTGAAGGAATGGTGCCTTGTGAGCGGCCTCTCCTGCTCTCGAGACTAACGACCTCGCGCGCGCGCGCTGGCTCGCGCGCGGGGCGCCCGCCACGCGGCGTTCGCCCAGCCCTCGTCGCCGAAGCCCTCGACGACCTGTCGCGCCAGCGACGCCCCTGGCTCGCGTCTCGCCCGGCTGGCCTCCCCGCGAGGCAGCCCGCCGCTGTGCGAATTGGAACTGTTCCCAAGCTAATTTTACCAGCCTGGAACATATCCCTATCCCTATACTGAGCACCTCCTCATCATGATGCCAATCTTAGGGGTTCCCTTATTTTTTGATGGCGAATCCCTAAGATTGTCATCACCGTTTGGCGTGTCAATCTTATGGATAGGGATACGTTCGAGGTTTGTAATTGCCCAGCGCCAGGGGTGCGTCGGTGCGCCTCCGAATGTCGGCGCTGTCCTCGCGGCGGCTCGGCTCGAGCTGGTGCTTCTGCCTCGGCCGCGCCGCGCCCCGCTCCGTCTTCCCGCTCAACCGCCTCCCTGCGCCGACAGATGTCACGAGGCCATTGCTCGGTCTCCGGCGCAAGTCCTTCTGCCGCGCAGCGCGGCGCGTCTCCCCGCGCGCCCTGTGGCTCTTCGCCCTCTCCTCTGGCACCTGGACAGCGGGCCCGTGCAGCGCCGCGCTGTGCGCGGGCGCGCCGCCCAGCGCGGGCGCGGGGGCAGGCGGCGCGCCGAGGGGGCGGCGCAGACTGCCGCTGGCAGCCAGGCCTTGATGGGCCTGTTTTCCACCACCACCACCATAAGTTGTAGGGGGGAAGGAGGTGGAGGACGAGGAGGAGGAGGACGAAGAGGAGGAGGAGGAGGAGGAGGAGGAGGAGGAGGAGGAGGAGGAGGAGGAGGACCCCCTCGCCCTCCAACTTATGGTGGTGGTGGGGGAAAACAAGCCCACCAAGGCCTGACAGGATGCTCAGGATGCGCCGGTCCTTGCCCGCGTGGCAGGCGCTGCTGGTGAGGCTCCCGCACGCGCTCGTCAGCATGCGGCGCAGCGCGCGCGCCCGCGGGTGCCGCCGGAACGGGGCCGGAGCTGACGGGGTCGGAAGGTCGCGCCGCGTCGCCGATGCACTGGCGATGTGTCAGCGGCGTTTGGCCGAAGAGTTCGGACTTTCGCCGCGCGGCCGACGCGTCGGCGACGCGGCGCGACCCTCCGGCCCCGTCTACTCCAACTTGGTTCGGGCGGCCCAGGGCCTCATTCACGATCTGCAGCCGATCGGCGTGTTGCTGGTATACGCATTGTATCCAGCGCTTCAGCATCCTGTGCTCCGCCTCGTTCTCTGTGGTGCCGGTCATTGCGGTCTGGCCGCCGGCGAGCGCTCTGACGATGCCGCTGCTTGGCAGATGCCCGCAACGCTGGTGCGATGTCGCGGCCTGCAGGATCCCGAGAGCCGTCCTGCCCTTCAAATCCTTCCGCTGCATTTCCTCTGGAGCGACCCGCTTAAGCTCGCTGGCGCATTCTACGCGCGATTCGAAGGGGCGCAGCAAGGAGTTGGGCCATTCGACTGCAGATCTGTGCCCGGCGACGGGCGCATCGCCCCACGCGTCGCCGGCGACGCCTCCCCCGCGGTAGATGCCAGCCATCAGATCAGGGGTCTCGCCCGCGCGAGCGTTGAGGATTGTCTTCTGGATGTCCATGACCTCGCGCGAGCAGTCCGCGCGCCGCCCATGGAAGCAGTGTGCCGCGCGGAACACTAAGTGCATGAATGATGTCCTCCGCGCAGGCGGCGCAGTTCGGCAGTGCATCCGGGAGCAGCTCGGACGTGGAGTCCGAATCGACGAAGCGGACCTGGTTGATCATGTCGGGCGAGAAGACCTCGCGCAGAGCGGATGCAACGCATTCTGGGCCCTCGCCACGCTGGACCGAGAACCCAGGGCACGCGCCTGTAGCGCCGATGGAAGTGTGCGCCCGTGCGGGCCTGTTGTGCCTGTTCCATGGCCCCCTGCGCCAGTCGCCGCCGCCCTGTTTTCTCCTGCCCGATGATGGACAAGCAGCACCTGCACGTCGCGTCGTGGCCGATGGCAACCCACTCCCCGCGAGCAGTGGCGCGGCGTTTGAGGTCGCGCAGAACGTTCTGAACGATGCCACCGTCGCGCGTGAAGAAGTGACGCATGCACTTGCGAATGGGTGGTTGGCTCTGATAGAGCATCAAAGGCAAGCGGCGCGGGTCTGATGCCCACCGCGCTTATAACTCGTGGATGATCGGGCCCATATGCCCGCGGCAGCGCATGGCGAGCGAAACAACGAGGTTCTCGAACTTGTCAGTGAAGTGCAGCTTCACGCTGAGCCTGCTCGCCGTCCCCGCCAGGCTGCGGAGCAAGTATCCCGGCCCAGCGGCGGTCCACGTGAGAGCGACGGGTACTTGGCTGCTGCGCTGGAGGACCTGCACCTCCTCCGAAGCGCTCCTGCTCCACTCCCGGATGCGCTCCGCGCTGGCCTCGAGCAAATCACTGGCCGGCGCCGCTTGCCCGATGACGCTGGCCGCCGCGCGCTGCCTGTTGCAGCGCCTGGGCCGCGCGATGCCGAGGACAATGTTTCGGTCCCCTGGGCACAAGCGGGAGCAACGGAGAAAGGCGGGCTGTGGTATTTCATGTGTCCAATCAGCTGGCGTTTCGTGCCGAACGCCCGGTGCGGGCATAACCTGCACCGCCTTTTGTCCTCCACGCCGCAGCCTCCGCGGAGCACCAGCTTTGCTCTGTAGGAGTTTGCTTCGGCCGCGAGGGCCGCCTCGAAATCGGCGGGCACTGCGGCAGCACCCGCGTCGCCGTCCACGGCTCGACGGCGCCCCCCGCCCCCCGCAGTGCGAGGCGGCCGCCACCGCAAGACGGCGCGGCAGTTTCAGTCGTTCGAGCTTGAATCAGGTGATAATAGAAACAGCGATGAGGAAGAAGGTCCGATGATGATAGTGTCACGAACAAGTGGGGAAAACGACAAGGGATGAGGCGTGGTAGTGAGGGGGAGGGGAAAAGTAAAATAGTAAAGGATGTGTGTGTCATCACGGAGGGGGTCCTCTTCCTCCTCCTCCTCCTCCTCATCATCATCATCCTCCACCTCCTGCCCCCCTCCAGTTTGCCTGGGTCAGGGACGATTGTCCGCAGGCTTTCTTGTTTTTTTTGGTTGCAAGAGATCCGCCAGCGTCGAGGATGTCCCTCGCCACCCCTCCACGCAGAGCGTGGCTTCCTGGAGCCGCGGTGTCATGGTGTCCGCTGGAATTCGGCCGGCGGTGCGGCCACCACACCGCTCGGGCCGCGAAAGGTTGTGCCTGGCAGGCGCCCTCCAACTTATGGATTGTGGTGGTGGCGGAAGTCAGGCCCATCACCCCATGGGTAGTTTTGCGTCCCAGATCCCTTCCTGGTCTGCCCAGGGAGGAGGAGGAGGAGGAGGAGGAGGAGGAGGAGGAGGAGGAGGAGGAGGAGGAGGAGGATGTGATGATGAGGAGGAGGGGATGGGGAGGAGGAGGGAGGAGGAGAGGAGGAGGAGGAGGAGGAGGGGAGGGGGAGGAGGAGAGGGGAGGAGGAGGTCTGCCCAGGGACCGATCACGGGCCCCGGAGGCCGAAGCCGAGGTCGAGGGACACGCCCAGCTTCCAGGGGCAACGACAGGGGGGGGGGGGAAAGCACAGGGGGGGAGGCATCGACCCCCAATCGCCCACTGATCGCAGATAGCAGATAAGGGGTCCGATAGCCCCAAGCCCGTCGCCGATCTATCGGCGAGGCGTCGCCGATTCCAGGTCGATGCATCCCCCCATATGCCTATCCCGCCTTGTAGGTGCCCCTCCAGATCGCCGGCGCGGCGGCGAGCCCGCCGCGGGCCCTTCAAGTCCTCACGCCGTCAGAGGCCCAGGATCGACAGATAGGAAACGATCTGGCGATCGGAGACTCGCCGATCGCTCCAGGCTGAACGCTTCACGCGGTGTCAGAAGCCAACACTTCCTCCTCCTCCTCTTCCTCCTCCTCCTCCTCCTTCTCCTCCTCCTCCTCCTCATCATCCTCATCCTCATCCTCTTCCTCCCTCCGTCTTTCCCTCTCTTCCTCCTCCGCCTCTCTCCTCCTCCTCCTCCTCCTCCTCCTCCTCCTCCTCCTCCTCCTCCTCCTCCTCCTCCTCCTCCTCCTCCTCCGCCCTCCTCCTCCTCCTCGTCCTCCTCCTCCTCCTCCTCCTCCTCTTCCACCAGGGTCGCCACGACGCGAATCTGCCGCATGTGCGCAGCCCCCCCCCTTCTGGGAGCGCCCCTCCCCCTAAGCCGCGCCCGACGCCGGAGCGCCCAGCAGCCGCCGCCGTCGTCCTCGCTGCCGCTGTCGCCACTCGTCGTCGTCGCCGTCGCCGTCGGCGTTTGGCGCCCGCGCCGGAGCCGCCTCCTCTCCTCCTCCTCCATCCTCCTCCTCCCTCCTCCTCCTCCTCCTCCTCCTCCTCCTCCTCACTCCTCCTCCCCTCCTCCTCCTCCCCCCTCCCTCCTCTCCTCCTCCTCCCCTCCTCCTCCTGCTCTCCTCCCCCTCCTATTCCTCCTTCTTCTTCCTCCTCCGCCCCCTCCGCCTCCTCCGCGGTGGCGGAACGTCCCCCTGCCTTCCAGGATCGCCCAGCCGCCCCCGACGGCGCCGAGCCGCCGCCGACCGCGCGCCCCAGCGGAGCCGCCGCGGCCCTCCGCCGCCGCGGCCGAGGCTTCGGCGTCGGCACCGGCGAGCCCGCGGGCCGAGGCCCTGACGAACGACGACGACGACGACGACGACGACGACGACGACGACGCCGACGACGACGACGACGACGACGACGACAACGCCGACTACGGGCGGCGGCGGCGTCGACGACGACGACGACGACGACGACGACCGAACGACGACGACGTCGCGACGTCGGAGGCCGCTGCCGAGTGCCCGTGGCCCGAATCGGACGAGGCGCCGACGAGGAAAACAAAAAGCGACGAAACGAACGACTTCGACGACGACGACGACGACGACGACGACGACGCACGACGAACGAGACGACGGCCGGCGGCGGCGTCGCCGACGACGACGACGACGACGACGACGACGACGACGACGACGACGTCGACGACGTCGAGGCCGCTGCCGAGCCCGTGGCCGAGGCGGCCGAGGCCGCGCGCGGCGCCGCGGCGGGCGCCGACGAGGAGCCCGGCGAGAGCGCCGGCGGCGCCGAGGCCGCCGGAGGCGAGGCCGCCGCCGGCGGCGCGCCGCTGTACGCACCGCCGCCTGCGGGGAGGCGCGGCTGCGGCGCTGGGAAGGCTCCGTCCGCCGCTGCCGCGGCGGCGCCGCCCGCGTAGGCCGCGCGAGGCGCGGGCCGCCGCGTCGTCCTCGAGCGCGGCCGCCGCGTCCGTCCTCGGCGCGGGCCGCCGCGCCTTGCTCGCCGCGGGGTGCTCCGGATGGGGACGCGGATATGCGGCAGATAGAGAACGCCCTCCCCTCCTGGCTCGCCCGTCCTCCTGCTCTCTCCTCCTCCTCCTCCTCCTCCTCCTCCTCCTCCTCCTCCTCCTCCTCCCTTTCCTCTCCTCTCCTGTCCTGTCCTCTCCTCCGTTCCTTTTCCTTCTCGATAACGCCTCCCTGTCGCACCCCGAGGCCAGTTTTCAGGGCGGGCTGGTCGTTTCGCCTGAGACTTCCTCACCATCTATGATTCTGAAGCTTAAAGAACTGCAAGAGCTTCACTGATTGATGGCGAATCGTTTTCAAAATGTGGCTTTCGCTTTAGCGCCGCGCGAAAAGAGCTTCTCGGATTGAAGGCGGTTCCTTTTCAAAATGTGGCTCTCGCTTCAGCGCCGAGCGCATTCGTTTATAAAATTTGCCAGGGTTTCACGGAATCCTATCATCAACCTGGTGTAACAGTTACGTTGGTTCGCGGTGTCGAAGTCCCAGGAATGGCGTTTTGGCACGATTCTGGATCGTCAAGACGCAACAATCAGTTTGATCCGTGGCAGGGGAATCCCCAGAATCATGTTTTGGCATGCTTCTTGGTCTTCAAACGGTTGTCTACCAAAGAGGCAGTTCCTTCAATGGAAATGAACCGTTGTAGGGGCCTATGAAGAGGGAGCTTGGAGGGCGGGTTTATTCTAACATCGTTGATGACTCTTGGGTTTACACTGGTCCTCCTTCTCCTCCTCCCTTTCCTCCATTCCTGTTACTCCTGAATAATTCCTCCCCGTCGCACCCCGAGGCCGGTCGAAAGTGCGGGTCGGGCGTTTCGACTGAGATTTCCTCACCACTTATGGCCCTGAATCTTAGACACTGGCAACAGTTTCACACATTGAGGGCGGGTGATTCTCAAAATGTGGCTCTCGCCTTCGCGCCGCGCGTAGGCATTTTTCAAAATTTGCAAGAGATTCGCGGATTGAGGGCGGGTGGTTTTCAAAATGTTTACTTCGCAAATGTGTCACGGATTGCAGGCGTCTCGTTCTCAAACTGTGGCTCTCGCCTTAGCGCCGCGTGGACTCGTTTTAAGCATGTGCAAGAGCTTCACGGATTGAGGACGTCTCGTTTTCACCATGTGGCTCTCACCTCAGCGCCGCGCACATTCGTTTTAAACATTCGCCAGGGCTTCACGGATTATGCCGTTCTCAAAATGTGGCTCTCGCCTCAGCGCCGCGCACACTCGGTGTAAACATCTGCCAGAGCTTCACGGATTGATGGCGTCCCGTTTTCAAAATGTGGTTCTCGCTGTAGTTTCGTGCGCATTTGTTTCAAACATTTGCCAGAGTCCCCGTGACTCTCATGATCAACGGGCCAAAATTTGTGTTTTGAAATAAGTCAGGATTGTGAGGGCGCAGCAACGTCGATTCGCGGCGCTCAAGTCCCAGGAATGTTGTTCTGGCAGGGTTCAGGATCGCCAAGACGCAGCAGTCATGTTGATTCGTAGCGTTGGAGTCCCGAGAATGGTGTCCTGGCACGCTTCAGAGTCTTCAAACGGTTCTCTCCCAACGAGGCAGTTCCCTCAGTGGAAATGGGCCCTTGTAGGGGCCTGTGAACAGGGCGCTTGGAGGAAGGGCTTATTCCCACATCGTTGATAAACCTTGGGTCTCCACTGGTCCTCCTCCTCCTTCTCTTCCTTCTCCCCCGAGGCCCTGGCGTTGGAACTTTCTCGCGGCGGTCGTTCTCGCCCGGCTTCCGGCCCTGAGACCCTCGCAGATCGATCTGGCTCGAAAAATGCAGCAGGCAGATGCGGTCTAGGGCCCCAGTGGTTATTGTTCGCGGCGCTGGAAGTTCTCGGCCGGCGGATCGAGCAGCGCCCCACGATCTTCGACGGCGCGCACGCGTTGACTCTCCACCCTACACACCTTCCGGCCAGCAGGTGGCTGACTCGGCGACCTTTTCGAGGGGCAAAGGCTGCATGCATACATAAACTTCCGGCGCTCCGCACGGATTTCGTGGATCGGCGCTGGACCCCCTCGCGGCGCCTGGGTCCAGCGCCGATCCAAGAGACCCGCGCAGAACTCCGAAAGTTGATTCAAGACGCTTCGCGTTCACCGCCCGCCCGCTCCAGTTCTCGCCTCGTCTTGGGGCGATCTTG